AGGTGTAGTTGCTGTAGTTGTTGTAGTTGGTGTAGTAGTTTTGGTTGCTGTAGTTGCTGTAGTTGGTGTATCTAATGTAGTAGGTGTAGTTGCGGTAGCTGTTGTAGTTGCTGTGGTTACTATAGTTGGTGAAGTTTTTGTAGTTGCTGTAGTTAGTGTAGTAGGTGTAGTTGGTGTAGTTGCTGCAGTTACTGTAGTTCGTGTAGTTATTGTAGTTGGCTTAGTGTAGTTGCTGTAGTTGGTGTAGTTGGTGTGGTTAGCGTAGTTGCTGTAGTTGGTATAGTACAACTAGTTGCTGTAGTTGCTGTAGTATGTGTAGTTATTGTGTTTGGTGTAGTTACTGTAGTTTGGGGTAGTTGGTGTATTTTGGTGTAGTTTGTGTAGTTGTTGTAGTTTGGAGTAGTTGTTGTAGTTTTTGTAGTTATACAAGATTTATTATAAGAGATAATAACCAAAATTACGTAAATCCTAACTTACGTGAACACCAAGAAAACTGTTGTGTGTGTCCTCGGCGCTTTGTCTGTTTAATATATATATATATATTTTATTTTATGGGTGTTGTTGTTGTTGTTTGTTTAATGAAATAATGTTGCTTTGTTAACTCGCTTATTTTGAAATATTATCGTAATTGATTTACCTTGTTATAAAGCTTTCAACGGGTAAAATTATTTTTAGATTTCTTGTGTATTATGTTGGGTAGATGATCACAGTAATAAACACCTCATTGGTATATTACCGTAAAGTTTCGGAAAGTAACGAGCCTCCCAAAGAAGCAACCTTCAGAAAGTTGCATTAGATTTCACAGGTGTTAGCAAATCACCACCATAAATGTCCTACAGCAAATACAGTAACTACGCCAAACTACACCAAACTACACCAACTACACCACACTACATCAACCTACACCAAACTATATCAAGCTACACCAACTAAACCAAACTACACCAACTACACGAAACTACACCCAACAACACCAAATACACCAAACTAAACCAACTACACAAAACTACACCAAACTACACCTACTAGACCAAACTACACCAAACTACACCAACTACACACAACTACACCAAACTACACCAACTACACCAAACTAAACCAACTACACTAAACTACACCAAACTACACCTACTAAACCAAACTAAACCAAACTACACCAACTACACAAAAGTACACCAAACTACACCTCCTACACCAAACAACACAAAACTACACCAAACTACACCAACTACACAAAACTACACCAACCTACACCAAACTACACCTACTACACCAAACTACACCAACTACACAAGACTAAACCAAATTACACTAACTACACAAAACTACACCAAACTACACCTACTAGACCAAACTACACCAAACTACACCAACTACACACAACTACACCAAACTACACCAACTACACCAAGCTAAACCAACTACACAAAACTACACCAAACTACAACAACTACACAAAACTACACCAAGTACACCAAATTACACCACCTACAGCTACTACATCAACTAGAGCAACTACACCATTTAAAGCTACTAGAGAAACTACACATACTACAACTACTACACCAACTACAACTACTACACCGGCTTCAGTAATTACACCATCTACAGCAACTACAGAAACTACAACAACTACGCTAACTACACCAACTACACATACTACAACAACTACATATACTACACCAACTACACTAACTACACATACTACAGCGACTACACATACTACACCAACAACATATACTACACCAACTACTCTAGCTACACCAACTACATATACTACATTAACTACACAAAGTACACCAACTACGCATACTACACCAACTACAGTAACTACACCAACTACATATACTATACCAACTACAGAAACTATACAAACTACACTATACACTATACTACACCAACCACATATGCTACACTTACTACATTATCTACGCCAACGACGTATACTACACCTACACTACACTAACTACACCAACCACATGTACTACACTAACTACACCAAGTAAAGATACTAGACCAACTACACTAGCTACACCAACTACATATACTACAGCAACTACACTAACTACACCAACTACACATACTACACCAACTACACATACTACACCAACTACATATACTACACCAACTACACTAACTACACCAACTACACTAACAACACCAACTACACATACTACACAAACTAGACAAACTACACCAACTACACATACCACACCAACTACATATACTACTCCAACTACACTAACTACACCAACTAAACCAACTACACATACTACACCAACTTTCACTTACTACACCAACTACACAAACTACACCAACTACACATACTACAGCAACTACATATACTACACCAACTACACTAACTACACCAACTGACACATACTACACCAACTACATATACTACACCAACTACACTAACTACACCAACTGACACATACTACACCAACTACATATGCTACACCAACTACACATACTACACCAGCTACGGGAACTACACCAATTACTTTAACTGCACCAACTACACCAAGCATCAACTTTTGTTATTGTGGGCAAAGTGGTCATGGAATGTCCCTATATTCCTGACGGTTATCATGAACCGATATACTGTTATTTTTCAAGGCTTTAGATAAGCCCAGAAGTAGTGGGCAACAGTATTCTAAATGCGGTAACAGGTAGGCTTTATAAAGACAAATCATAACGTCCGAAGGAGCTAAGCGCTTAATCCTCCGTAGTGCGGCTATCTTGGCATGCGGTTTTTTCAGCAAGATTGCAACGTGGGGCTTGAAAGACAAATCCCGATCCAATGTAACGCCAAGAATCTTGAGAGTTGGTTCAATTTCGATGGACTGATCACCAATAAAAAGATTTTATTGGTACTGAGATTTCCCTAGTGTCATTGCCTGAGTTTTAGTAGCAGTTACTTGCAGGTAATTCGCAGTGAACCAGAGGGTTAATCTCTCTATGTCTTGATTTAGTGTAGATTCCACACTCAGTGTGCAGGGGCTCTCATGGGCTATATAATGCGTTGTGTCATAAGCACGCAGATGTAGGGAGGAAGATCCAGGACATCATTCACAAAGATATTTAAAAAGCGGACCTAGAGGAGTCCCTTGCGGCACTCCACAGCGAAGAGGCCGCCAGTCTGACACCTTTCATTACATTTTACTCGTTGAAAGCGGCCCGATAGATATGACTGAATCAGTTTTATAGCTGAATCGTGAACGCCGTAAGCTTTCAGTTTTGCTAGTAAAAAAGTCAAACGCTTTGGATAGGTCAATAACGACCACCGCAACATCCTTTTTATTGTCAAGAGCCTGGCACCAATCATCTGTTAGCTTTAACAAAGCGGAACAGCAAGAATGCCAACGCAGGACCCCTGACATATTATCCGAAAAGACTGGTGTGAATACGCTCTAATATTGATCAAATTTTAGTTTCTCAAACACCTTGGGTATAACTGATAAGACACTAATAGGGCGATAACTCTTCTTAGATGTTTCGTAGTCTTTCTTATGAACAGGGGTGACTTTACTAAGTTTCCATTGACATGGCCACTCGCCTTCGTCAATACAATAATTGCAAAGTTTAGTAATAGGTTAGGCTATGACTAAAGCGGCAATTTTAAGCAGCTTGGGTGATATTCCGTCGGGGCCGGCTGACCTCCTAATGTTTAGATTAGAGAGGACTTCAGAAACTCGGGCCACACTAACGATGAAAAGAAAAACTTAATTTGGGTGCCTTCGTCTCAATACTGACAACCCTGGCGTGGCTAGAAAATTCATCCACGGACAAGGTTAGGACGGACTCATTAATTGTAGGAGACGTAAAATATTCATTAAGAGACGCACTGGCGTCAGGGATAATTCTGCCATTTTCAAGTTATCAAATTGAACTTGTATTAACACTGGACTTACTATTTGGTAGGAGTGGTCTCAGTTTTTCCAGAATAAACCAGGAGAGCATCTAGAAGAAACAGACGCTGCATCAGAACAGAAATCTTTAACTGACTGTCTTTTCACAGCTTTGACATCGGTAGTTACTCCAGTTTTCATTCGTAGGAATTCGGCCGAATTTCTTATACAAAAGATTCCTGATGCGCATTTGCTTTTGAATAGCAGGGTTGATCAACGGCAGGTGATTGCTTTTAAGGTTCACGGGTTTGATTGGAGCATGATGATCAATAGCTTGCTTGAGAAGGCTTTCCCAGTGGCACCAAATATCTTTCACATCATCGAATTTTGTAAGCAGTGTCCCATCGGATCTCACTTAAGGATGAAAGAATGGAATGAAGAGCAGGGGAACTCTTTTCAAAAACTAAAACAGCCGATCGCAAGCACTCCTGTTTTGGCATCTTTTGATAATGAGGCTCACACGGATAACTGCTGATACCAGTCCAGTTGTCCTGATGGAGAAAGTAGAGCTGTGTGTTTTTCTAGTCGTACCCTGAGTAAATTTGAAGGTCGGTACAGTCAGACTGAAAAGGAGACTCTCGCTTTAATCTGGGAATGCGGACGATTCCATTTGTATGTATATGGACTGCTAGAATTTGCTCTTTTTACTGACCATTTACTCAAGCAAGTCCAAACCGTCACCCGGATAGAATACTGGATGTTGCGCCTTCAATCGTACAAGTATAAAGTTTCGTTATGTACCTTCCCGGAAGAATATTGCAGACGCTTTGTCAAGGTTAACAAAGACAGCACCAGGGGAACAGTCTCAGGATAATGATGAGTATATAAGGGCAGTTACAACTCATGGAGAAGTTCAGAGACAAAATAGGGAACTTTTGGAGTCCATCAGAGTTGCTCATTCTGACGGAAAGAATTGGAGAGAAGGGCTGAACAAGTTTCTTCTTGCATACAGATTAACTCCACACTCAAGTACGGGGAGTAGCCCACCTGAGTTGTTGTTTAAACGAAACATTTCCACAAAGATGCCTGAGCTCATATGTATTCACGAGGAGGAACCTGGGGCGAGTGACCAAAGTGTCAGAGATCGTGATGTCTCAAAGGAAGCAGTCTAATAAGGAGTATGTGGAAAAGCGTTTACATGCTAGAGAAAGAGAGGTGAAGGGAGGAGATGCTGTCCTGTTGGAGAAGAGGAAAGAAAACAAGTTGTCAACAGCCTACGAAAGAGAGCCCTATACAGTGTTGTCTAGATATGGGGACCAAGTTATTTTGCAGTCACCCTAGAGTTTCCAGTATAGGAGAAATCTACAGAATGTTAAGCCTTTTTACTTTCCTGACCAAGGCTACCAGGCAGGAATTGAGGAACCGGAACTTGCCACCAACTCCTGAAGCAGAAGTACACTCGCCACGGGTTCCTGTGCAGATGCCGGAACAGCTACCTGCTGTTACCATGCAACCACTTGCAGCCAATCAAGAACCACCAGGGGTACCTGTGCAGAGATCTGAACAGCCCTTGCTGTAAGGAGGTCGGAAAGAGTTAAAAGGTGACCAAAGGCACTTCTGGATGACCATGTTCTGCATTGAATTTGATTTTAACCTGATCACTTGCATGTTTCTTTATATGTGACCAGACCAGGACTTTGACCCCCAAAAGTTTGTTTTTCATGTTTGTTTCAAATAAGACCGTAATATTTTTGAGTTGCTGCAGTATATGTACGTTTTTGTGCGAGAAGGAGAGGGAATGTAGTGTACAGCGGTTTTCCGTTACTTTATCCGGGACTTGCATCCGGGTCGATTAAAAACGAGAGCGCGTGAAGGAGTGTTGTTCACTCAGTGTTAGGGCGGCCATTCAGTATTCCTGTTGAGCCTTTGAGGCGGGTCTTCTTATCTATACTACAGTGAGAGCTCTTGCCTCCCACCAATGTGGCCCAGGTTCAAATCCCGGCTTTGACGCCATATGTGGGTTGAATTTGTCGTTGGTTTTCTCTCTTGCTGCGAGAGGTTTTTCTCCGGGTACTCTCGTTTTCCCCTCTCCTCGAAAACCAAATTCCAAATCCCAGTTCGACCATGGATCAGGTAGACGAAGAACCACTTTGTGGATGTGCTATCTCCAAATCATTATTTATTTTATTTTTTAATTAATTAATTAATTTTTTGAAATTCTTTTGGGCAATAACTGAAGACCAGCCTCTAATGTAAAGTTACTGTTCGATGACCTATTTTTGGGTACGATTCCTACAAGTGCACCTTCTGCATAACTCGAAATGAGGCAATCTCAAATCTCCATTCGCTTTTTTCTCTCCATCACATTCCTACGGGTGTATTAGTGAACTGAATTTTAAATATCAGTGGTAAGATAAATGAAATTCAGTTGTTATGGATTGGTCACTAGCAATGCAATGCACTCACTTGATCTTATCGAAATAAATCAATAAATACCTTATAATATAGTAGGAAATGAAAAAAAAAACCGTACCTGTTAAATACTTCGCTTCATTTTCTAGACCCATCTGTTCATAGATACACCATTCCGGTGAAAGGATCACTTTTCTAGTTTTATCAACCATCGGGATCTCCCTTGGCGTGGGGATAAGCATGTTAGGCGCATGTCCAAGGTCAGGTACACTTTTGGCACGGAAAGGATCCCAAGTCCACTTGTTAGACGAGAACACAAAACTAAGATCCTCACCAGCTGTGTTTGCTATGATTTTTGGCATCAAGCCTTCAGCAGCAACATACCAGTTTGGTGCCAAGTCAGTGCGCGCCCTTACGAAACTGCTGTTGAATTTTAATTTGATGTGTTGTCCCGAGGCAAATGGTTTGAATCGATCCAGAGGCTCTAACTTATACAGACATCCATTAATATGCGTCAGTTTTAAATTGCTACCACCAGGTAGAACATAACCTTTAGGGTTATTGGCGAGATGGTCATAATCCAATACTCCTAACATGCAAACATATACTGCCCATTTACCCCTTGTTATGGGACTCGACCCTTTGTTATAAAGTGTTATTTGTACAGTATTAGGGGATAACACATCGAAATATATTTTCATGTTATCAGCCATGCTGTCGATATCTGCTTGGTTTAACAATGTAAGGCTTTCCGAAACAGCTGGGATAATAGCTGGTTCACCTGAAAAAAAAAATTTTTTTCTCAAATTATTTTTCATTATACGAGTTGCATTCAATACCTTTCTGACACACTAAGGAACAGTGTCCGTGTTCAGTGGAAACACTTACACATAGTGACAGGAATACGGTTGCAATTACGCATGTAAAACCCTGTTGGTGATCCAGACATCCCTGGGTAAAAACCTGTTGTCCACTAGGGTTGGATACAGTGTGGCGTTCTTAAAAGTTGTTTTTGTGTTGAGAAAAAAAGCAGCCCTCGTTTGCAGCCCATAAGGGATTCCACGGCCATTACACCTTTTCATATATTTTCCTCCTTACCGCCCTGCAAACCATCAGCGAGGGATTGATCGTACTCACATCATGTTACAACAGTCGCCCGCACACTTTGTTACTAAAACTCCTTCACTTTCCTAAAGGATGGTAGAGCGAGCTAAACACGCCACTGCGCTATTGTTACTTGGGCTGGAGTATTCTCAAAATCATCAGTTGAACAGCAACATGACCATCAATTCAAGTTAATCCTTAAAGTGACCCTTACTCTGTCAGACGATAGTCTGTTTCAGTATTGTGCTAATGCCTGTATACAAAACATTGACCGCCGGTCTATGGACCACCCCTGTGAACCTAACCCATGGATCCCTTCGTGGACCTGGTCCATGGACTACCCTTGTGGACCACCCCTAGTTTTACCGCAGGTTTAAATGGATTAAATGAGTTTTAGAAACCTTAAATGTACAAAAAGGCTGTCAGTTTATATTATCAGGGTTATGGGCTCTTCGCATTATACACCCGTTCAAATTTTCTTGAATTCCATACATGGGTTTGGTTTAGTCTCGTGAAGGAGTAACCTTTGGGAAGGGAGGAGAGGTAGGGAGGAAGCAGTCCCCTACGAAGACGAATTTTTGAGTTATTGTATTGCATACCCTCCCTAGACTTATTTATCGGCAAACTTATTGAATCCTGCTTACAGATCAAGCACAAAATGACCTGCATATAACTGTCACATGTCTATATCTACGTTGCTTATCAGATGTCTGACCAACCACGTTTTTAAAAATAAGCTAGTTTTGTGCTTGATCCGTACCAAAAGCAGTATTCTACTAGTTTGCTGACGAACAAACATTGCCAAGGAAAGGGAAAGGGAGTCAGGGGAGGGTACTCAGTCAGCAAGCGTTACCTCTTCCTTCCTAGTCTCCTACACAGCCGTTGTTTTGTCACGCAACACAATGACACAAAAAAGCTGCGTAGCAGACTATTTCCTCTCCTCCCGTTCCCTTTAAATATTGATTCTCCTTCACCAAACTAAACCAAAACCCATTACATTGGTATGGGTCCATGTTTAGTATACGGGTCTGTTGTTTTGCCCTAGCTTTATAATGCTTCCCCGTATCGTTTTACCAACCTGAGGAGGATGAACCGGTTGGAAACTGATCGCGTGTCTCTCAAAAGAAAATAAAGTCTATTTATTGCGACAATAAATTAAAGAATATTTCCTACATTATAAACAATTGCTTTGTTAATTGCTTTCTTACCCGTCTCGTAAGAGACGTGAGATGACCATACCAACAGAACCAACAGCATTCCCCCGTGAGCAAAACAGATGCATTGAACCTTTCTTCTCACAGACATTTGCTTGAAGTTTGGAATCGCAAATAAATTCATGTTGGCACGATTTATGGGTCTCTGTGAAGAAATCGACGCCGGAGTTTTTCCCAACCAATATTTACATGCCATGTGTTTGTTTAGCGTTGCATTTTGATAATTAGCTTGACGTCATCAGTAACAAACTGCTGACTCACGTCACGAAATTTTCAAACCTGTCCTTTCACTCCTGTTAGCAGCATTTCATGAATTACACAACACAAAGAGGTTTTTTCAAAGCATTAAACATTTTTTGCAATAAAATGCCTTCGAGTTTGAGATGAGTTAAAGGATTAAGGAAAAAGCTATACTTTTGTGGTTAAAGGGGCTTCTATGTTTATGTCATGTTGATATTGCTGTTTTAGGTCAATTTTATACGGAAGTCGTTACTTAGTGCCTTTAGCCATGAAAAAATGATAGCGTGGCGGAAAAAAGAACATATCATCATATATTTATCAGGAAGCACTCATCATCATCATAATGATTTTGGTGACTTTTGCAGGCATAGCATTAAAACTTGAAAACGTTAAGCCAACGTTTTAAAGTTTCTGTTCATGTTCGTCCTCGCTATCTCCTGAAACAGAAGTTAGGAAACAATTTCAATACCTAAATATAGCCTTGAATGACAATTATTTTTTAATTCGTTGGCCGTCGAGCGAAACGAGGTTTATAATTTTGTTGGAATTCGCACCGCACGTGACTCTTCGCTAAACGGAGTGTGATCTTGTTCTGGTGATATAATCTCTATGGAATAAGTGTCTTAAGCCCTACTGTGTTATTTGCAAAGCGAAATTATGTAGAACTGAGTCACTTCAAAGTTGCAAACACTTTTCATGCAATAATTTCGGGCTTGCCTTATATTTCACTGACATATAGTAGCCTATCATCTCCGTAAAATGACTAAGAACACTCGCGAAGAATTTAAGGATGATAATACCTAGAAGAGTGCTTTTACCGAATGAGCTTGCCGACAAAGAATATGCCATCATGAGAGACATTTTACCGATTCTTAACGAATTTTGAGTTCAGAGAGTTGCTCCTTTGTGATTTATGTGCCATATATTCCTGGATTTTTTAAAACCGGGTTAGCAAAAAAAAACTTTAGCTAATATCCACTACTTGGCAATTTAAAACAATGAAAAAATAAACAGTGACAGTGGTGCCTGTTTACAAGGAGGGTGATGATACTGATTCAAAAAAGAATCGCCGAAAGGCCATTTTAACTGGACTGCGAAGGGGCAATTTAAACCAGATCTATCACTCATCACATCTACTGTAACTCCAAAAACGTCATCTTCATGATACAATAGGGACCTTAAGCATCGACGACGAAACGGACGACTAGGACGCTTCGCAACCGAGGCAGACTGGGCTAAGGGTTTCGTTTTCGGCGGGGAAAACGAAGTTTTAACAGTGCAGCTTCCCAGACAGACGACGACTTTTTCTTTGCGAAGAAGTTTGTCTTATTTGTTACAGTCTTGTTATGGCATTCAAAGACCTCCGTAATTTACATCTTATAAGCTATGACGATTGTTTAATCGACGGTGGCAAATTTATTGTTCTT